TTTTTTTTTTTTTTTTTTTTTTTTTTTTTTACATGTAAAAAGAATGCTGAATAAAATTTGCGTACCATTTGTCGTATATTACAGAATTTAAGAATGCTTTAAGGTGCTTATATGTGGCGTAAACATTACGATTTTTAAGCTTACTTTACAGTGCTTAAATGTTGCTTAAATAAGTGCCATTAAGCACTTTACGGATAAATTAAGCTAGCTTAAATCACTGTATTTACGGACACTTTAAGACGCTTAAATGTAGTGTAAACATTAAGATTTAAGCTAACTTTACGGTGCTTAAATGTTGCTTAAAAGAGTGCCATTAAGCACTTTACGGATAAGTTAAGCTAGCTTAAACCAAGCTTAAATCACTGTATTTACGGACACTTTAAGACGCTTAAATGTACCGTAAATATTGAGATTTAAGCTAACTTTACGGTGCTTAAATGTTGCTTAAAAGAGTGCCATTAAGCACTATACGCACAAACTTAAAGCTAGCTTAAAAGTAACATTTAAGCACGCGTAAAGATTGGCTTAAATTTGCTTAAAGAGTGCCAAAACGGAACCTTTAAGCATGCTTTAAGACTGCTTAAATACCTGATTTCGTGCAGTGCATGTTCTATATTAGCAAGAAAAACAGATTTTGTTTCTAAACAAATATATAAAAAAACAAGAACACAAGGAAAACCACAACGCCATGTCATCATTTTTATGTTCTAGGCAACCATTTACCAATTGTGTTGCAAGTGTGCGCGACTGCTTACCGAAAGCACGTATAACGAATAACTGTCGAGTTCTTTTGTCTGCGATTGCGCATTTGGGCCCTATAGTCTTCCGTACATATTTGTTGGGCTTCCGTCATGGCATTGTCTAAGTTACCGATGCGGGTATTTCTCGAGTTATTAGCACGTGTAAAAGCCACAAGGAATCTGGATTCAATGACCTTGTCTAGATCCAAAAAAACGGGCACGGTAATAGTGAGGTTCTGTGAAGCATCCACGGTCATTCCTCGTTTCTTGAACACAGAACACATGTATACTGCAGTAGCCGTACTCTCAAGTTTAGCTGATACTAGGTGCCGCTTCTTGAGCTCGGTCATTCTACTAGGGGAGTACGCGGGCGAATTGGCATAGTACTTAACATCTGTCCGCGTCTTTACGATCACATTGGACGGGTGGCCTCGCTGACCTCCCCTTTCGATAAATGGTCGAGGTAAATCCAGCTCTCCCTTTGCCATACGAAATAATTGGTGAAACAAATCGTAGTCTGGGGCCGTCACGGGTGCTGAAGGACTTCGCATCATATAGCCAAACTTTTCCACGGAACCCGTATTATCACTGGTAGGACAGAACAAGTGCGACCATTGAACTTGGAGGTTAGGACTAGTGACCGTTGATCCCAATAATACGTCATCGATCTTAATGACGGCCGCGGTCGCGTAAAATTCGCGAGGCAACCAGGCCTTTAAGCCCCACAGGAGCATGTGGGGGATGGACTTGAGTAATCCGTACCTTTCAAACATCTTTTCTGTAGAATACTCGCTGCGATGCGGAACTTTATTTATATCCGCCTTGTTGGTCAGGGCCGCTTTAAACTCGTGGACCATACTGGGGTGATTCGTATCCCCCACGATGGTGAGGTTAGTCCCGTGGAACTCTGCCAGTGGAGTTGGTTTGATATCAAACTGCACGAACGAATATAGGGGGTCATCAGCCACGTGAATCGAGACGTCTCGATAGGTCATAAAATCGGCGTGTGTCCGCTCGATTTCAATAAGCCAACCACTAAATAATTCCACGAGAGCCTGAGTATCAACGTCTCCTCGCGTTCTGGATTTGGTCTTTTCGTCATAGATGCCTGTCCCAATCCGCACCTGTTCTTTAATTTTCACCCCATAGGTCTTGATGATATCAATGTCTGTTTCGGAGATATCACCCAAGCTTGCGTGTCCTTCTTCGAGAAGCCGCTCAATGAAATCGGTAGTTGAATTAGAGTCACATCCTGGTGGGGATTGATGTAGGCAAGTTTCCATGATCCAGCGACGAAAGGCTTCCACCAGCCCCGACATGACTAACATTTTAAATGCTATAGGAACCGCTTTAACCAGCCAGTGAGACTGTAAGATCTTCTCTGGAGTCCCCCGCACACCACGAAAGAGAATTTTGGCTCCGGTCTCTTCGCAAGATACGGCACTGTTCACAGCAAACTTTCGTTCTCTGCGCATAAGCATATGACACATGATGCCGCTCTCCGTCTCTTTCACACTCTTCGCAAAAGCCTCCCAGCTGTTTCCGTCCCCTTTTGCCAAGGCATCAAAGTTGGGATCGGCAAAATGAATGGCCATGTCCGCAGTCTCAACGTGAGCAAATGAGCTGCTCGTATGGTCAATGCCCCGAGTGTTGAGCGCGACTTCTGCCAGACACCGCCCGTCGCCTAAGTGATTGGCTATCATCTTGGCCTGAAGTCGGTGCTGTCGGTGTTCTTCTCGTGAGAGGATGAGGTGGGCAGGTGCCACGATCGCCATTTTGGTTACCCGAGTTTCTTTCATGGTTTCTTCCTCCAGACCACTTTCTAGTTTGCAGTCATTCCCCCACCCAACAGTATTACCTGCAATCACATCATCTCCAGACTTATGCTTGTCCAATATGAACTTGCGCCGCGCATGACCTTTTTTCATACCAGCGTTGTTAAGGTAACTCTGTAGGTCGATCTCATTCTGTTGGGTCATAGTGAATTGCACACGGCCGCCCGGATCAGCCATAGCGCCGTCGCTACGGACAAGATGACTATCCTCCTCGTCGCAAAATGTGTTCATTATTTCAACGTAGTTCTCATGATTTACACTGATTTGGGGGTACGATCGCTTTCTCCCGGTAGTCACAAGTTTTATCAGTTTATCACTACCCTCTTTAGCAATGTTGTTTAGCATCTGCCTTTTTCTAGACCAAAGTCGAGCTCGGTTATAGTGAGCTTGCTGAGAGGAAAGCGTGGAGAGTCCCACCTCAGATACGTCTTCGGGTTTGCCTCGGTACCACTGGAGCGAGACTATGTTAGAAGACACGTAAACTTGGTCAGCCACTTTGATGAAGACTCCGTCATATTGATCGCATTTATCATTGAAACTACGGACGTCTTTGTGCTGGTAAAAGAACCTCATACCGCTTTGTTCATGCCCCGGGTCCCCCAACAGTGGCGGGAACACCTCGTTAACCATTAGGGGTAACAAACCCTCCCTACCTGAGGGAACGTTAGATTCCATGTGCAGACAAACATTACGCAGCATTTTTGTATAGATGCAGTTTTGAGCGTTAACGCTACGCCTGAAAAACTGTGAGTCCCACAATTGAGCATTGCGAACGTCTTTACCCACCATACAGTTGTGAGTTTGCGATAGGGGGGAAGGCAATTTTCCAATGGGCGGAGACTGTTCCATACTCCCAATAGAGCAATATGTCATGGGTCGCTCTTTTTGGTGGGGGATGTTGTAGATTTTACAACACATAGAATAGTCGAGCCATGCTAGCTCTTTATACGGGCCTGACATGCGCCCATCTTCCTCTGCCAGTAACATGCTGTGAAAAACCCAGGGAGGGGGCACTCGTTTGAGCGAGGACATTTGAGACTGGACGTATATCTTGTACGTTTCTTGATTCTTGACGTACTGTGCCTGACGAAATCGGTCCACCAAGCGATCAATCGGCTCTTTGCACACCGGGTCATTCTCTCTAAGCCTCTTGTTAGAATGTTGTGTAGAACTTTGAGCCCTTTCATTTTCTCGCCCAAATTGCTCACCTCTTTCTTCAACAAATCTGCGCATGTTCCCATTTTCAGATCGACGGGCTTTGGCAGCAGTGGTGGCTTCCTTTACCCGTTGAATCTGAACCTGAACAATCGTTTTCACGGCTTCAAATGTCTCTTCCAACGGCTGGTGTAGGGGATGCTTATCGTCCATGATAGTTAGACGGAGCCCCACGAATTCCTTAAACTCCATGAGGCGCTGATGTAACATGTCGGTTGCAAGGGAATAGATGTTGCGAAAGACCGTATATGTATGCTCGCGAGAGATGCGAGCTCTTTCCTCGTCCGAGGTATAAGGCGTTATAGTCTCCAGTGTTCTGTAAGATTTTTGGAGACTATCAGAGATATCCAGGTTTAGAAGTTTGTTACGAATGCGACAGTCGGTGAATTTGAGCGGTAAGGCTTTAAACCACGTTCCCCACATACGTAGGTGGTCGTAGCTGTAAGGCTGATTCTTCTTTTTGAGATCGCCCTGATATGATATCGAGGCTTGATTACTTGACCCCAAAATGAACATATTATAGAAAGTCCCCACCTTACTCTGGAGATTGGTGAGCGACGTCGATTTGCCCGTACCTGCATGTCCGTTCATGGACATCTGAATCTGGTCAAGCGGGGATCCCGGTGCCCAGTTAGGTGGCATGTCCACAACATTACAATGGCCAAAATACAAATCTAGCCATTCATTCCGTGCTCGAACATGGGCGCTAATCTGATCCAAAGACCACCCCTTCAATCTGGCGAAAGTAGTGCTGTCCAAAAACGCTTGGACTTTTTCCTCGAAAAAAAGGTCACTAAATGTGAATGCTGTGATGCGCTGATTAAACATGTCGGTATCGACCGAGCCGTCTTTTGCAATTTCTTCTTCATCATCATCACCATTATCCTCTTCCTCTTCTTTCATTTCACCATCCTTATCATTTATTTCTCCATCCGTTACCATAGTATCACCTCCTTCTTCAGAGAGAAGGTCGATTTCGCCTTTCTCGACCATGCTCGCAAGGGCGACCTTCAACAAGGCATCCTCTTCCGCATTCTCAAATTCGTCGTGGGAATCGACCTCCATCTTGAGCGTTGAGCAATGCAGGCCACTTCTGCTGGAGAGCCTCAAGTATATCTTCCTTTATAGCATCCAAATTTGATGGACTGGAGACTTTTACGTGGTGCGCATGCCTAATGAGTCTGTCCACATAACGAGCCAAAGAGATACGGCGGTACTCTTCAAAATTTGTAGGCTCGCAGCACATATAATCGCTGGGTAATTGAATCATCAGGTCATCGTCACCTCCTCTGTTAATTTGTCTGGTTTTCATGACTTGGTGCCGAAGCCGATGGTATGTGGGGGTTCCTACTACCATGAGACACCGATTGGGACTACTTCGCCTTGTTACAGCGGTTTCCAAGAGCTCCGTCATTCGAGCGTAATTGGTGGACGCATCCTGGAGTGTAGAGCCCACCAGCGTGTTTTCGTCATAAACAATATCGGCCATCAGTTCTGAAACCAGACTTTCAACAATTTCGGACACGTGTTTGGGTGGAAAGCCACTATCAAAGTTCAAACCATATATCCTACCCCAACTTCGCCGAATATCGATCGTATCGCTCTGGATCCGACGTGATTTTTTGGAACGTATTTGGAGTAGTGTGTATTTGGGTTTCCTATCGAGCGCAAGCCGGTAAGGACGGATCGCCATATTAATATATGTCAGGCACAGCTTATATACCAGTAATGATATGCGCACAGCAAGCATGTTCGCTCTAATAAACATACTGACAGTGTTGGCTACGACTGTGATAGGGCTGCAAAATACAATCACCATAGAAACCCTCCCATCGCCCAACGAGGACTATGCCAAACTGGCCTGTCATACAGGAATTAACATGCGGGCGACTCAAAGTCTTTACGTGTCGTGGACATTGTCTGGCACGGACTACATGAACCGGCGACCACTCCCCCCAATGGTCCCCCATCAGTGGCTTGAGGAGAATAATTACTGTTACACACCAGACACTAACCAACGAACCATTTCTTGTTTTACGGATCATGGTGTCATTGACCGTGAAGACGACTGCCTCGACTATACTCTCTTTTACGACAAATACAGACTAAGCTTCCAGCGTATTCCTCCCAACAACATGGGGACCGAATTAAGAAAGTTATTGATTGAACCTCCCACGACCAGAGTAGTAGGTCTGAAACGAACTATTCTGTTTCCTGTCCCCACATCGCATGCTAATAAAACACGGGAAACCATGTACCTCACTTTAATGAAGCACATCTTAGAATCTGCGACAAGCCATCGGCGCCTACAGATCAAGCCGATCGAGATACGTGGGAAGGAGGCTTACATGAGTTGCGCGGAAAATACAGCCAGGCTCCTTTACGGCGAGACCATGGACTGTGACCCGACTGAAGAACCCGTAAATTATTTGGTTAAGATAGTTGACGGTCAGGGGGTTATAGCGCGTCAAGCCTGTGTCACACCTTATTACGCTTGTCTGGAGGGCAAGCGGAATTTCGTTACCCAAATAAAAGCCGTGGCCTTCATTTACGACTCTGTTGACGCATCGGTCAACATTGAAAAACCCAGGCCTCGTCCAGACATCGTGACGTTGGAATTAAAAACTCATAGGTTCCAGGACTTGAATGCAATGACGTGCCCCTGTCATCGCATTACCGACATCTGTCCCATTTTGCCCAATGACATGTCTAACTATCTCCAAATTCCTTGGCACGTATTAGGGACGGGTGATGCAATTTCTTGTAAAGTTGACCGATTGGATGGTGCCTTGTTTAAAACAATCCATAACGTGAGTATGTTAGTTAAGCCCATAATCACCAAGGAACTCTGTGATCGCTGGAGTAACGATATGCTCACCACGAACATGGCGGTGACTAACTTGGTCCCTTACGTGTCACCTATCACCTTGCGCGAGACCAAACGAACTCGAGAGTATGTTAGTTTTACATGTGACTTTGACTTCGACTGCCCAAGTTCCATAACAAAACCGAAATCACATCTATATATTTTTGAACGCAATAATGACGTAGCCATTTCCGCAAGTAATAACATGACAATTTTATTGACTGCGTACTCCCAATATAAACAATACGATGTGCGATGCGGGGTAGACTATACCCTCATGTCTGCACCAGTTTCATTATGGGTACCATCTCAACCAGTGAGTGACATTGTCTATCGTGCTAATGTTGACGGTAGCGTGTACTGTTCGTTCCCAACTACTCGCCACTTCAAGTCCGACTCTCTTACAATTGAACACTGTGGTCGGAAGAACACCTGTCCGCTTTTCCAACCACCCTATATTTACAATCGAAACTGTCTCTACTTTCGTGAGCGAGTTTATGTAACCCTTCAAGATGATGTCCACCGTACCAAATGTACAGAGTATTCCTGTACGACTCGGGGAGCGAAGATCCATTCTAACACGACTATCATACAATACGCTAGCTGCGATGTCCCACATTCACAATTGTTACCCGAAATCAAATACATGGACGGTACCATTGTTTGCGGCTTTGCGCCCATGTTAGCTTCAGAATCCCAATGCCTTGAATTGCCCGACAAGGGTATTTTATCTATCGGCTATACCGACGCGTACCTGCCACTCAGGAACATTCCACCTCTCGGCTACTTTTATACAGAGTCAAAAATGTGCCACGTATCCGACGTTACCGTCTTCCGTAAATGTGCCGTCATAGGATCAAACGTTCACTTCCATCTAGCCCCCGACGCGTTACCTCCATATCCCCACATGGCCTGCACGTGGCGTAGCCAGCATACCAACCCCCTTACCTCGCACTCTGTCACTGTCTATAACGAACCTCCCATCGTACCCAGACAGGAAGCAACACGTTCAAACCCGCGCCTGTCTACCGGGCATGCGAATAAGTCCCCGCCCCACAAGATTTTTAACACCACTGCTTCACTTATCTTGTCCAATCTTGGTCGATCTCATTCCATTGCGTCTCAGAAAGATAGCACGTTGTCATCAGTTTCAATCGTTCTAATTGTTGCAGCAACTTCAAGCACTCTAATTATGGTAGTGGGAGTAATAGCGGCATTGTGCTTTCTTCACGGTGCTACCAATCCAGACCAGCATAAAAACTCCTATCATCGCAACTACAAGTACCGTTTGTCAACTCCTGGCAGTCGCACATGCGTTGTGTGTGGGAAAAATTGTAACGATTCCTACAACGTGTTATATTAATTATCTGCAAATTTTGGCGTCGTGGGATAATTGTATAGTGCTGATATCCCGATGTTTTACTGTCATCCTTAGGGATGGAAGAGGAGAAGGAAGAGGTGGTCAGAGAGGCACCATCTTGCGATAACACGCTGTGTATATTTGGCTCATCTCGCCGTGTTGATGATACTGATAGAGCCCTCTTTTTTATCGTTTCCAATAAAATCCGATCTATTCTAGCAGATAACTCTTTGTTCTTTATAATGGCTGTATCCCTTTATATACACCTAATGTTACATCGATTTCAGCAGACTGTTCAGTCACAAGCCGATCCCATTCTTTATAGTCGGGAGACCCACAGTAGAAATATAGCACCAATCATCGCTCACTACGTTTTTAGACCTCACCACATACTATTACTGAAATGTTTCCTCATTTCCATAAAACGGACATTCATGTAATGTAGATTTCGCGCAAATGCTTCCACTCTGCGGATCTCTGTATTGGTCATCATTCCCGTGCTTAGGGCTGCAACGTACATATTGATGATAGTTGATAAATGACATGACTTGAAAGCTTCTTGGTGAGCATCGGTTGAGAGATGCGTTCTTCGGATGTTGGCTGTACAGAGCGGGTTACCGTTTGAAGACATGTGCGCATATAGGGATTTTATAATGTGGTCGGGCGACCAATCCCAACCTAGATCCCTCAAAAACAGCTGTTCAAACCAAGGATATTTGCAGCACCATTCACCATAAACGGTTTGAAATACGGTTTCCCAAGGAGCCTTATCAATAAACCCGTACGTATACAAAGCCCCACCTATCCCGTCTCGTGTAGCAGCCACACCCTCGCGTATATCCGACAAGGCTTTCTTACCCCTAACCAATTCCCCTTCGTCGAACACCTTTGTTAGGTCTTGGGCGTTCTGAGACCTCACGCCCACATTATGCCGTTTGTCGCCATGCCGCACACCTCTACCTAATGATTTGGAGAGATAGCCTGTTTTGAAATGTTTGACGCCCCGAAGCTTCTGCCCGTCAATACCTACTCGACCTTTGCGACCCTTATTAGCCTTATCCATGGCGACTTTGATGTTAAGCTGCTGCTTCTCTGAAAGAGAATCCGTTTTAACGTGACTTGGTTTCAATTGATAGAGCCCAAGCCGCTTGATTTTGTCGCAGGCCATTACATGTAAGTCATTCTGGACGAAGCACCATCCCGGGATCATATTCATACTGCACCACAAACACTTGTGAAATATATACTTGACATCATCAAAGTCTCCCCCGTCATTGGTCACGTGATGATGAAGTCTGGCAATCGCGAGCATGCGTGACACTAATTTCTTAACAGCACTGGTAGCAGCTTCGTCCAATGCCCTAATACGGTCTGAGCGCGTCATTATTTGGTTAGCTGTAATGCTATTGGAGGTAGCTATTTCGTGAAGGGACTTGATAGGTGTATCCCGCACGTCTTTTGGCCCGTATAGTACTTTGCGTTTGGGTGTTATGTTTAGGTCGGAGCGCTTTTTCGCATCGTCACGATTTGTTACTTTGGTTATGACCTCTGTATCAGCAGCTTCCTCCATTTCCCCCGTTGGGTCAGCCAACATCAGACCAGGCTGGTAGATGGCGTAATTATCAGGATGCATGAACTTCATATAATCAATGCGAAGTCTTTTCTCACAAAATGTCCGTGACACGTAACAACGCGCGTCATCATATAATTGCTTTAATTGTAATTGGTGACGTATGTCTCCATTATCGGCCATGATACATGGCACTCCCCGTACCGCCTCTTCGTCCTCAACACGAGTCTGCCTACCATCGCACACTTTAAGCAACACTCTTACCAATTCTCGTATGGGAGCCAAAATCGCTACCAGTTCGGCCTTCTTGTATTTTCTCTCCAAGTCTTTATCGTCGTCCACTAACGCCAACCTATCTTCCACACCAACTCCGTCGTATCCTTCGTCACCCAGTATGGACCCCTCCTCCTCCTCATCTTCCCCCTCCTCCTCCTCCTTCGCTACGTCCTCATCTATAGTACTTTCGACACCTTGTCGTCGCAATTTTATAATGTTTTGAAAGGCGCTCTGGAAGAGGAGTAGAGGCGATCCTACGTTGGCAAATGCTAGGGTGCAGCACCGAATAAGGAAGTGAAAGACCACAGATCTCGGGTTGATTAGATGAATGCTTTCCTTAGGGAAAATATTGAATGTTTTTGTAAATTGGTACCAGGCAACGAGAACCCCCACAGACGTGTGTGGCCGCCTCATACCTACATCATCAAGGTCATAATTCTTACAGAAGATGTCCTCACACTGATGACCGGCCGTCTCCACGTTCATATTAGATACCAGAGGATCATGGGTCAGAATGTATCGACAAACGGCACAGTCGTCATCATCTAGGACCTTATCTTTGCTTTCGCTCCTGCCCCAGTAAGTCGCATACGTGCGCATCCAGTCCTGTGCCTCCTCATCTTCAGTTACCGTGGTAATAAAGTGATCGGCAATCCGGTTCAAACGAAGCATGGTTCTGCAGAGAATATTAGTATGGATCCTGCAATTGGCTGACGAATGGTATACGACAGAAATGGACAACCTTATTCAAATTTCAGCTATGATCACTAGTAGCAGAATGTGTACCAAGGGAGCAATCGATACCGTTGGTAATAGGCGAGAGGTTTGGGCGTCTCTCATGCAAATCAAGTCGTGGGACACACCCACCTGGACCAACCTATTAGAGGACGTCAAGCATGACCAAATCACAAACACCTTATATATCAACCAGGTCACGGACATGCTGAAGAACTTTCTACCTCAAGAGAGTGCCGTGGCCATGACACAGATTTTTCTTTCCGATCCCAAAATAACCCAGAAACAGAGAGACGAGCTTGTAGATATTTATGATAAATACATGCTAATAAGTCATTTCCAAGACGAAACTCTCGTACCCATCCTAAACAGCAAAGTGGTAGCAACCTCCAAAAAACAGTTTGTGGCTCAATTCAAATGCAGGCTAATGCAATGTCTACCCGTAGCCTGTTCTTCTTCCCAACTTCACGACCTGGAAGATATGTTGAGCACCACGCAATTAGCACTAGTCACGGGTAACAGGGTCAAAGCTATGATGAATGGTTGTGGAGTATCCGTGAACATGGGAGGAAAAGCCACCACCTCTGAGGAACTTGATGCCGACCGTATGGAACGCGTGGATGAAAGAGGGGAGGATGTTGACAAACAGACATCAATTGTCGCCACGCATGCCCAGTTTGCTGCATAAATCCACCAAGTTGCGCTATATAAAAGCGCACATCACCACAGACAGCAGCCGCGGTAGAACAAATATGGGACACTATATCGAGCATCACACTTACGTAGAGCATCGCACACTGAAGAAAGTCGGTGTCATAGTCACGAAAATTACCTGCAAGGGAGAGGTGGTGGACACTCGTCAAGAATATAATGTGGACTACGTGACAAGACACGATTATACTCAAAGCCGCTGGGTATGTGTGCTCGACAAGCTACGAACCAGATCTTTTTCTCTCCAACTGCGAAACAGCATCGAAGATCTTAAACGATCAAATGTACATAACGTGAGTCTACATAGCGTTCTCACCGGTCCCTACGCGATAGTTAACCTTCATAACATATCTCTAGCATACGAGCTACTCAACTTGGGCTGTGGTCTGAATTACACCACAATCCGTGACGTGACCTTGCCACAAATTTTAGGGTTTGGGGTCGCACCCAAATTACCCCAACCCAGTGTGCATCAACGATGCCAAGCTGCTAGTAAACAACTTGCTCTCCAGATTTGTCAACCATCCAACTTTGTCTTCCCCGGAATCGAGCCCGTCAATCCCAACTGCCGCCTATTAGTCGAATTTACGGGTGGGATCGACATGGTTAACCGCGCATTTATCAATTGGGTGTGGGACGATCAGGCGCATACCCAACCCGTAAAAGATCGCCGCTACCCCCCATCGGATCTACTGCGTAACTGGATTAATAGTCACTGTCCCCGCAACCAAGAAAGCCTCCTACCTGTATTATTATACAGCGTGATGACCAAGGAAACAGACATGTTTCAAATACTCAATCCCACAACTTTCGTGGCAAATTGGTCGCCCTTCCGACCCGGGCCGTTCATACGTTTAACACCTTTATGTGCCGAAACCGACAAGATTGTTTGGTTCGCACAACACATAGCCATCGTAAAACGTACGGGTGCTAACGCGCCCATTTTCCAGTCATACCTAAACCTATCCTCATTCCCAACAATAATGGCAGAGTTTTGGAAAAGACTCATCACGCAGCCAGTCGACATCGACATTCCACAACCGACTCTCGCAAACGAGGCCACCCATGACAAACGCTGGATCTCATGGCATGAAGCTTTCATAACTTTGTGGGAAGCGTTTATGCCTGATCTCCCTATCTATGAAGGACCGCATCACATGCCAACTTATCAGAGACTCGCCTGGCCAAATGGAGGCAACGGAAAACCACCCCAGTTATATTGTGTCTTACCGCATAGAACCAACTCTATAACGGAGGTCAAATATCGCTACCTGGACATCGCTATCTGTGCTGTTTACTCTTTACCCAAGGATCAAGTCGTATCCGGTTTCATCAGAGGAATATATGAACACGTAGAAACAGACCACTCATAAATGCGGGTTTTAGGGGAGCAAACTCTTCGCGTTTTGTCTCTGAGTCCAGATATTTCTTAAAATTAAAAAAAATCTTATTACGCTTTGTGTGTTTTGTTGTTTTTTAGTCGTTTTGCCGTATTTTCTTTGTATCGTAGGACGGGGATTGAATTTCGGGCACTCATTGCCCACCTCGGAAAATAACAGATGTTGTCTAAAGGCAAACAATACAGAGAAAGTTGTGGTGTGTATATCCGTGACGGATAAAGGTTCATCTCCCTAGAACAACCCTGCATAAACGCGAATCGGTCGTGTTTGACCACCAGATTTGACCACCGTCTCCATCTGTTTTTCATTCTGTAGACTCCATTCACGCATTTGGACCAAGACAATCCCGTCTTCCGCCTGTCCCGGATTAGCGTCTGTGACTGTTTGCAGAGACCAGGAGTTTGGTGGTGAGTTCCCTTGTTTTTTTTTTCCTCCTTGTTGAACATATCGATCAGGCCACTAGCATAGCCATTACAGAGCATTCTTTTATTTCCCGATTGGCTCAATTCATACACCGCCGATGCTCAAAAGCGCGAAACAGGGCAGTCTCACCCGATTTCTGGCTAGAAAACGTGGACATCTCTTTCACTGTGTTCCTGGCTGTACTATCGCTCGATATTACCACATAATCCTTCCGAACCTGAGTCATTCCCTTCCCCACGCCATCTTCCTTGAAATAGCTCACAGTGACCTTTGTCGACGCAGCTAGGCTCCCGCCAAAATCGCACATGACATTGTTTCCCTAGCCCGGACCATTCATGATCGTCTTAGCTCTTTTTCGATCCACCATCCGCCCACTCATTGACTCGGAGCAAAGAGTTAGTCGCTGCATAGAGGTAGAATATTTGTGGCTATATTCTACAAGCCATGTGCCTCTCTGCTAGCCCAAATAGAAACGAGACATACTTGTAGTAACTGGAACACCCTTGCTTGTTATTCTACCACAAGGAAATATTTGAAGTGACACATGCGCTCAATTCTTTGGTTGATCGTGGTTACCGGTTCTAAGATGCATGTTCTTCAAACAAGGATTCGTGGCCAACATCGGTCAATAGGCAGATTTTTTCCTTGTTGTGTTGCAAGATATCGTAATCATGTTTCTCATTTTCTTTTCTTTTCAACAGCTGGACCTGATAACTGATCCTGCTCACCCCGCCACTTCGCAGCTTCCTGCCATTCGTGACTCATCGTGTCAATATGTGCTACTACGCCAGGATCATCATCTTCCCAATCAAGCTGGAGTATCTCTCAAGTTTCCCTTTTTCAAAGAACCGCTATGCCACGCCATGTCATGCCATGCCCATAACTGCCCAGGAGGCAAGGGCAACCACTCAAGAAGAAGTTACGTCGCCGGGCCTTGCCCTGAGTTACATTAAGATCACTGCAGCTGGGCCTGGCGACCACGAACCAACATATTGGTTCACGACGAAGCACCGCACATGGGACAATAGCGAGATTGCCGGCATTAAACTGACTCCCGGCTGCAGTGCCGAGCTTTACATTCCAACCCAGGATACTGGTAGTGATAGTGAGTGAGGGTCTTGCCGATAGAGAAAGTGTCTGTATCTGTATCTCTATCTCTATAGCCGGTATAACCGCCTTTCGGCGTAACACACCAGCTTCGCAGTCACGCGAACTCTAACTCTAGACATCGTTTAAAGCTATCTAGTGAGAATGTCCCTACTGTACTTGGTGACAGCGAGTTCCACTCTACAATAGTTCTAGAAAAGAATGAATTCTTAAACGCCTCAATCCTTAGTTATTTATAGATCATGTAACTTAGAGTAGCCGAGCTCTTGTTAACTCTAGACTTTGTTTAAAGCTATCTAGTGAGAATGTCCCTACTGTACTTGGTGACAGCGAGTTCCACTCTACAATAGTTCTAGAAAAGAATGAATTCTTAAACGCCTCAATCCTTAGTTATGTATAGATCATGTAACTTAGAGTAGCCGAGCTCTTGTTAACTCTAGACTTTGTTTAAAGCTATCTAGTGAGAATGTCCCTACTGTACTTGGTGACAGCGAGTTCCACTCTGCAATAGTTCTAGAAAAGAATGAATTCTTAAACGCCTCAATCCTTAGTTATTTATAGATCATGTAACTTAGAGTAGCCAACGTCTTTTTTTACTTTACATGATGGAACTGTTTTTAAATGACCTGTCAGTAGTTTTACCAGCGTTTTTAATAAATGTCTGCATTCGAAATATCCATCTTTCTTGCGTGTCTTTATGTACAAAATGAAACTAGGTCAAGTAGGATTAGTTCAAATTAAAGGTCTTAGACCGCTTAAAGCCAATGCTCTGTCATCACCACAGTATATATAGTGAAACCCATAAAAATAATAATTTATGCAACCTGAAAGACCTCCACCCCCCGCTTGAACCAACCACCGCCATGAATACCTAAAAAGTCTGACCAACCAGCTATCGGATTTTCTCAACCCGTCTCATAATGTGCACTTATATGTATCAGATCGTGCCCGATTTTACCATCACCCTGATCAGTTATGATTGAAGACGCTACCACGCTCTACTCCTCCTCAATTCTTTGTCCTGTCTCTACCCACTCGACCTCGCCACGGTTTCATTATGCGCAATTACTTACGCGTTACCCTCTACCCAGTTAAGAACGAGTACCTAGACATTCTCGCGGATACAATGAAAACAGTCAGTGAATTCCGCGGACTAATCAAGCACCTCGAAATGACCCATGGTTTAAGGTGTTCCGCTTCAGGTGATAAGGGCCAATTTTTGACCCGTCTTATGCCTGCCGACAACCCTCAGCTGGGAGAAGCTATTCGTCGTTACGTGTTCGGGACTTGTGAGCACTTGACCGTTGAAGACCTCCAGCTCACGACTCCGAAAAAAAGCCTACTTCGATCTGTGGCTTTCAGCATGGCCAACAAGTACCGCCCACATCACGCCGGGGACCCTGTCGGCTGTTATGCCAAACCTACAACAGCTGAAGAGATACTGGGCACCACTTTCGAAAACGCGATATCTCCGGACCTTGACGTGACATACATAAAGATCACTGGACTGGCCACCCCCGAGCCAACTTATTGGTTCATGGTAAACGATCATCTATGGAAGACACACGTCGAGAACGAGTTTGCCACTGTGAAACTGAGTTCCACATTTGTCACTGCCGAGCTGACCATCTTCGAGCCTCGCCGCAAGTACAAGCTCAGTGAGAAAAAAGAGTATCGCCGCACTCACCCCGACGATTCAAAAGGACCACGCGCTAAACTCCCACCCGCAGCACGAGTGTGTGGATCCAAGATCTGGCTGACAGATTTGTTCCATTGCGACCTAGAGAATGTGTCCCGCCATCTCCGCGAGACATTCAATCCCTGCTGTATGTCTCACTCAGACAAAAATACAAATCCAGCCTTCCTGACAATGTGCTTTCTCCACCATGACGACAATTTCCAGCCTCCATCTCTGTCCTACCGCAGCATCATGTCACTCTTGCGACAAAAAAATATTATTCTGCGCAGGGTACCTATCGTTAGCACAAGTAAAGACTATGAAATGTCGGGACGTCCGAACCCAGTTCTCCTCTCCCAGCCTAGAATCCCTGTCTCAATGTACCAACGACGCGTTGAGAAAATTCGCCGCCTGAAAAAGCAAAAGCGCGAGAAAGCCAAACAAAAGCTTAACCGACTCAAGACCAAGACTAAAGCTCGCCTACTAGATCGAATCCGGGCTAACCAAAGGAGAGTTGAGACCAAAGCGAAACCACAGGCGAAGACAGGAGGTAGACAATAGAGTAGACAAAAGACCAAGCAGCTGACGACGAAACTGGACAGTCAGATAAAACCACCGCCATGATAAACAAGAAATCTGTTGAAAAAATGTTCCGATCTCATCACCACCATATACTATACGCACCTTTAAGTTACTCAGAAGGACCATCCTACCAGTCTTCTATATAATGGCCCACCACCAGTATCCTAACATCTTATTAAAGAATTAGAAAATGGTCTTTTAAGATATCTATGCCTGTTGTGTGTTTTCTGTGTAAAAGACAACAATATTTCTCCGTTTACCAAACCGACCGGAAGCCTATCAGTTGATACCTAGCTGCCTCCAACCTAGCAACATTGATAGAATTAGAGAACTAGAGAACAAATAATACAACCAGCCAGAGTAGTTTTTTTACCATTCTTTTTTTCTAACATTTTATTTGAGCGCATCCCCGGGTACTTCAGGTAGTAGGCCTGGTGTTTCAATAGGAACATCAATCCGCAATCCAGGTTTTGACAGTTCTTCTATAAAGGAATGCGTAATATCCGGTCTCTCAGTACCCATCACGTCTCTCACCAATCCATCTAGAATCTCGCGCGATCCATCATTGGCCACCAACCCGTAGTCTGGGTTGCTGACATTATCGTGATTGATATCAATAGACGTACTGTCATGTATTTCATTTGTCACGTCATCCACCATACCCGCCATCCTTGACGCCTTTTCGCTGACTGACCCCATAATGTTCAGCTGTTTTTCCATGTCTTTCATGCCTGGCACCAACTCCTTACTCTCTCTCTTGATTTGTTTCATTTCCTTCCACAAACGTTTGGTAAGGTAGGCGTTCTGTTTCATCTCCTGACCAACCTGCTTGACATTCTCCATCATGGTGTGATGCGTTTGCGCCCGACGTAGAGTTCTCGTGTGGGCAGCAGCTTTTTGTACATAGTACTGTAGGTTGATGCTGTCTAAAGACAAACCCGCCTCTGGCTGCATAAGTGCCTTTGCAGCATTCTTGTTCATATCTATCTTGATGCGAAGCTTGGTCATTTCGTTTTCGCTCGCGAACCAATCATCATGGTTAGACTCCTTTTCCGCCATGACATATTTTGGGAAAAATTCGTCTTCTAAAAATCTTCAGGCAAGCCATTCACGAGTATGCAAAATGCACAACTCCTTAACCACACCTCTCAAATTGATACATTATGCATGCTGAACACCGGCATCATGTGTTCCGTAATCATAATATAAATAGATTTTTTTCACATGACCCGGTCTATTCAAGTATATAAGCCCCGTATCCCAGCCGTTCGCACAAATACCCTAAAAGAACAAAGATGGCTCCCCGCAAGTTTGACTTCGCTTGCGACCAAAATCAGACCCTCACGGATCAAAACTGTAGACATACCACAAACATCGATTTAAGATGTACCGAGAGTCTCGATCTAGTGCATTTCAATGACAACTTCTTGTATATGAGCACAATGTCAGTAAGGGATTCGGTCGCCTTCGTCAAAGTTCTTAGCTTCTCGCATCGCCGCATCCTCCTCTTGAAGGTGGTCAACGAACCGACTAACCGATTATATCACGAGTACGAAGTTCTTCAGGCTATGGCCACCGTCCCAAACATCTTACGTGCTGTCAGCTGTCAAGATATCAGACTCGACGTCTGCAAGCTAATGGAGGGGAAGGACCCTTTTAGATACAGAGACAATCCTGACGTACGACCTGCTCTTCTGATGGACCTTATCGAAGGCGAGTCCTTGTCCAAATTATATCACCAACTTCAGCCTTATGAAGTTCGCTCAATCACCGCTCGTATATTACTCACACTATACGTGGCCCAGCAATACCACCAGTTTAGTCACTACGATCTGACTTTCGACAACATTATATTAACTTATTCTCCGACCCACCTAAACCATGATGAATGTTTTCGGATCGGACCTGCAAGCTATTCCATTCCTATGTGTGGTTTTGTCATCACCATAGTTGGGTTGGGGAAAAGCCATGTTCGTAACTGTCCTGCTGGACATGCACCCATCGACCTACAGAGAGGAGTCACCCCTAACGTGCCCAACGCGTCGGCCGACTGGGTCATGTTAATGACATCAATGTATCACGCCAAGAAACGTGGCCATAAAGATCAGGTGAACTGGATCGGATATACCCCACCGTTTAGTAAGCAGGTAAACTCAATTCCTACCCCTGCACCAGCACCACGAGACATGAAAGAAGGGTTATCCCATATTGAATGGACTTTGTACAAACATTTCCTGTTTGATGACGGATACCTTCACGTACCCGAGGAACCTCACAACTTTGAGAAGATTGCAGCAAACGTTTCTGAAACAATTCCGCTCTCATCTCACCTTTTAACCAATCCCGGGGGCCTTTCCCAAATCATCGGTCTACTGCGCGGGTACCGACAACAGACGGGTTCCTTTCAGGAAGAGCCTGCCCTATTCTTCAATGCAATATCCGCCCTCGATGTTTTCCTAAAACATGTTGAGGAAAAGCAACGCCCCGACCCTTTTAAACTTCTGGTGAGTTTCGCCTCGTTTTGCAGAGAAAACATGACACAATTTGATGTGTTTCACATCCAAGATGAGTTGCTCATCTCCAAACTTAGCCTAGCCGCCCGCCACATTCGCGGTTACATGCTTGTTCAAGCATTCTATCTTCCACAGTTTGGCGTCTATGTGCCCCATGAGACACTAGCTGATTACGTCTCTAATCCGATATACGGACCATCATCATAGATGGATCGTCAATGTATTTCATACCCATGTTGTAGATAAAGTTGCAAATAAAAATATACTCGAAATATACCCGTTTCTCTCCAAGAATTCTTCCTTTTACACGAATAACTATATACCCAGTTATTTAGTCATAAAGTAAGTAACTAATAAGGCATATCATAAATATAATAGATAAAAGCAGACAAAGACCATCTTTTGTTCTGATATTCTTTACTTTTAAAAGTCAGCATGCAACGTGAAATTCTGCTGATCAGAGGAGGACATCACCCCCATCTTCTGGTACTCTCCCACCTTCTTCTCAAAGAAGTTGCTCTTGCCCTCCAGGGAGATGTTCTCCATGAAGTCAAAGGGGTTTTCAGTGTTGTAAATCTTGCTGCACATCAAGTCTCCCAACAATCTATCTGCTACAAACTCAATATACTGTTTCATCAGGTCTTGATTCATCCCAATCAGCTTCACGGGAAGGGCGTCTGTCAAAAACTCTTGCTCAATCTTGACGGCACTGTCTATAATCTGGTGAATATCTGCCTCGCTTGGCCTGTTAACCAGGTGGCTAAACATCAGACAGGCAAACTCAGTGTGCATCCCCTCATCTCTGCTGATCAGCTCGTTGGAGAAAGTCAGCCCTGGCATCAATCCTCTCTTCTTCAACCAGAATATAGCTGCAAAGGACCCAGAGAAAAAGATCCCTTCCACAGCTGCGAAAGCAACCACACGTTCCCCAAAAGTGGCTCGCAGGTCTCCAATCCACCTGAGGGCCCACTCAGCCTTCTTCTTTACACAAGGTGTGGTCTCGATTGCATTAAACAGATGCTTTTTCTCATGCGGATCCTCAATGTAGGTGTCGATCAAGAGACTGTACATTTCAGAATGGATGTTCTCAATGGCAATCTGGAAGCCATAGAAGCACCTGGCCTCGGTCAATTGCACCTCTTTGTAGAATCTCTCTACCAGATTCTCACTGACGATACCATCACTAGCTGCAAAGAATGCCAAAATGTACTTGATGAAGTGTTTTTCGTTGTCAGTGAGACTCCTCCAATGGTCCAAGTCCTTACCTATGTCTACTTCCTCCGTTGTCCAGAATGACGCCACGGCCTTCTTGTACATGAACCAGATGTCGTGGTTCTGTATAGGAAAGATGACGAAGCGATTGGAGTTCTCCTGTAGTAGGGGCTCATCCTCTTCCCTCTTCTCTGGGATTTGGGTCGCTTGCGTCCTGACGTCTTCGCCATCTGGAGATCTTGCCATATCTTGACGCTGATTCTCCCCGATAATGTTTCTTGCAGTCTGTTTCTCACGGTCTAGAGAGATGTTCAGAGTGGACTTGGCAGATTTCGGTGGTTGCACTGGAAGCATCTTGTGGTTCTGTTGACAATGACAGAACAAAAAAAATTGCCGTTAGGAAAACCTGTTGAATGGGGAAGAACTATGATACTGAGAAAGAGGGAGACCAGCTCGGAGAGACGAATGCGTGGTATGTGTACACCGCTAAGGGAACGCTGACGAAATGAAGCGAGCGCTGCCACCCTCACCCCCCTCGCCCCTCTCCAATACCCTATTCTGTCCCCCATGCCCATATTTGCATACATGGATAAACAGAAGCCATCGTCTGACCCATGAAAAATGCAAATTTACAATACTAGGTATCTATATTGATCTGGTTTACCAGCATTTTATTGACTGGAATTCTTTTTATTCGCCCGCACCCACTAGTTGTTTGTGAGGGTCTTTATGGGATGTCATCCGTTAAAGTAGTTCACTCTGGCCCATAGTCTAATTTTCTACGTCAAAAGCAACTAACCTTGAAGCCATGAAGAAGTTTAAGTCGTTCATTTTTTACCTATCGTAGCTAACTCGCTTGATTCAATCCTACTTCATTACAGGCGCACGCATCGCAGTCGCAACCAAAGGTAGCCACCATGATTTACCAACAGATTTTAGTGCTCTCTATTTGGTATCATCTAAAAACAAATCAGGTTATCGCTTCCCCCGATATAGCCTCTCTTCCTACCATAGTCGAGGCCCATAATTATGGAGCTTTCTTCGTCAAGGAGACTCCTCTCCTCAACGGTTTTACCAAATATAGACACACGATAGCTATCGAAGATCCTGTCTTGCCCCATCAAACTTTACGGCGTCAAGCTTGCGAGACTCCCGAGGACAGACTGCTTCACTGTGAGAGCAATAATAAACTTATAGGGGAGGTCGACTATGAAAACAATGCCCGCCTAACCCGCATTGGCGAAGAACGACAACGTGCCATGTCTGCTATTCCTAACAACGATATTAGTGATAGCTCACGGACAATTCGTTCGCGCCGTTCCATTCGCTCGACATGGCCACCGTATACAGAAAAGGCCAGAAAATATGCTTCCGCCCAAACAATAGCACAACACAAGAGATGGTACGTCGTTAAACGTGGTAACGTGAGCGTTGTAGAAGTGCTACCCAATCATCACCGCGAGCGCAGAAGTGTGACCGCAGGACCTCGATACTGCAAAAAACTTAAAGAAGGAAACGCAGACGACGAGGATGGCGGTTTTCTACAAACTCTAGGTAGAGCCTGGAATGATCTTTGGGGTCAACCCACCTGGAGCGATTTAAGAGCGACCGACAGGCACATTTGTCAACTAGCCGACGTTATTAGCGACATAAAGGATGAAGTTGTGGCTCAGACTAATCGACTTGGTAGTATGAGTAAGGCAGTAAACAAGCGGGCCGATGACATAGAATCTGGAGTTGCCCGCACACACCAACTGGCCGAACAGACCATTCAGCATTTAAATGAGCTGGGTAGGTCTATTGCAAACAGGACCGAGACAAATGAACAACGCATGACTCGTATTGAAAAAAGCCAAGAACTGACTTTGGCCATCCGGTCCCACCTGACTAACCTTCGGACACAACTGGTTGATTATGAAGAACACATTAACAATTACATAGCTGGGATTAATGTCCTTTTAACCGGTCGTTTACCTATACAATTAGTGTCCTTTAGTGATGTCAGGAAAATATTAGATCACGTCATCCACAATGTGCTTCCCGAGACAAATATGCGCATAGTACACAATAATCCGGGTTTCTACTTTATGACAGAAAACATCGTTTTCACTCGGTCTGAAAAACTCAGGACCACATACATCACCATTACCATACCTATATTTGATCAGGGTGGTCTTCTTGGGGTTTACCGAGTCGTCCCCCTTTCAATTCCGACGAAGCACACCAGTGTGGCGACCACCCACATTGCAGATCTCCCAGATTACCTTGCAGTGACTGCATATAGAGGACAAGGATTTTTCACTGAAATGAGCGCCGTCGAACTAGCTTCTTGTCGGGGTGATAAAGTCCGCACATGTCACACAGAACGATCTTTACAGGATTTTGACACCCCAACCTGTGCTGCTGCCTTGTTTAAAGACATGCCTGCCAAAACCGTATTGGAACTTTGTGATTTCCGATATAATAAATACGCACGACCGAGCGAAGTTATTCAATTACCGGATTCCGAGTTTTTAGTACTAGCCCCCCAAGCCGCCAACATGACGGAAAGTGATTGGCTAATGCGTGGTCCACCTCCGCGATCTAGGGAAATTAAAGTCAAAGCTTCCACAATAACTTTCCTAAAACCTCCCTGTGGATTTGATGTGGATGCTCCCGGTATATTTTATATACCGCCTCAGTGGAGCAACTGCGAAGACGACGAATATACTCAAGTCGTGCAATCGTTCCCTATAAACAAACCTATGGCTCATCTCACCCTGGATCCCCAGCAAATAATTGATGAGATCTCCGCTAGCACGCGCATACAAGACGTATGGGATTATGACGATCACATTCCCGACCTCGAGCTCATTTCTGGGGAATGGGAAAAGTCCGTTGACGATTCTCGCCAACAATCTGCTAACCTCAAAAGGCTGATTGAGCTGAATAATAATAAAACCGAGGCTTTTGCCACTCGGACCGATGAGGCTCTCCGCGCCGCTACCGACTTCCATGACCTGAACCTCGCTCACACAAATGACTTGATTAAGAAATTTGGCAATTTAGCGTGGCTGCGCTCCCTGACTAAAGGCAACACTGCAGCTGGTGTCGGAATCATCACCTTTTTTTCAGCTACTAGTCTCATCATGAGTATTATCGTATGCTGGTGCAATCACCGCTAGTTAACCCATCTATCAACCATACATCTATATACCCATCTGTCTATGTATCTCTCAAATGTTTAACTGGAAATGTAGAATAAAACAATACGAATAATACAATAAGTTCCTCTCTTTTATTGAGCACATACATAATATAATATCAGAAGTTGGTAACCCTTACATTGGTTTATTAGGATCTCTACTATTAGCGCATTTTGATACAATACCTGTACCACGTGAGCGCTACGCGTTTTAAATCACAATATGGAAAGATTTAAGTATAAATCAACAAAAATATTAGCACATTTTTAATACGTTGTTACGCGTAAAAACTCGAGTGCTACGAGTAAGGAATGGGGGCTTGCTATACTCTCCTATGATCTGCTACTATTGGCACATTTTCGGCGCGACATATTACAACACACCAGACAAGTACCATGTCTTTAACCTTTTCATTGCTTTGTTAGATCTTTACTATTTAGTACATTGTCACAACTCCCACCACTACTATTAGCAGCGAGGAATATTCGCACAGTTCACGAGCCTACCTAAAACCGACTCTTTCCAATATATGTCATGAATAGCAGCGTTCCATGCACGAGAATCAATAGTAACTACCGACGGTTCCTTGATTACAAGACCTACTATGTTGACTGCTTCCCCTGCTCTATTTCCCCCAGAAAAGCCCGCATAATGTTTCTGGCTCCATTGATATCCCTGTCGACACGATAACCACATTTTTCACAATGAAATACTGTTGAAGCCTCCAGATCTTGTTTCACGTTGCAATAACCACATGTTACTGAAGTGTACCTCTCAGACTGTACCACTACAATACACCCCGTTTGTCTTGCCCTATCTTGTAACCGTCTTTTGAATGCCTCATGATCGAGTATCTTCACATTGAATTTCTGCTCTTCTAAAAGATTTTGTTTCGCGACGTCTCTTGTGTCTATCTTACCCAAGACAATGAGACCATATTCTCTCACCAGTTGGGAAGTGATGTTGTTATGCTCATGTCGTAACTTAAGCTTCAGCTCCCATTCAAGACGATTCATCTGCCGAAGTCTATCATCCGCTTCTTGAAAATGTTCCAGCTTCAAGGCTCGGACTCGCTGCCTCTTTGCCGCCCAGTACTTATCTATTTTGGATTTAAGGAGATCTCGCTGTTGTTGAGGCGTGCCCACCCGCCAACACTGCTTCTGGGTAGGGGAATAAGCTGTGAGAAAGGCGCGGTATCCAGGATCTATAGATACCGCATGACGAGACAGAGCACCAAGTGGTTTCCTCGTGTAAGACGGGTCGCATGGAACGTTTAAGCAATATCTCCCCGACGGCTTTCTCGAAAGACATATGCCTTCTCTTTCAAAAGGTGGTATCTTGTCCAAAGGTTTATGGAGGCTCACTATCCCCAACCCGATCACGCGCACCTTGTTCTCAGTGTCGTGGCGAATATTTTCCAGGGGAATGTCCACATCTCCCACACGACGGCAAGCTGGCCGATTACCATATCTCTCTCTATCGTTCAAGAATCGGGTAACTGTAGCTTTTCTTTCCAGCTTGAATTTAGCCCATGTCTCTTTAGGTGGGGCTGGAATTATGTGATGGACCTGCCTGTCCACCCAATCGGGAGGCGTAGAGGAGTCGCATAACTCTCGCAGCAGGGTCTCTTTTAATTTGCTCCCTTTTCCGCGACTAGTCTTATTGACGCAACAGTTGTAAACATAGGCTGCCATTTTAGCAGCTATCTTATGTGACTCTTTTTGCTTGGCAGTCAAAGTAACCCCTACAACAAAAGTAGTGGTGGTAGAAGTAGTAGTAGTAGGGCTGGGGTCGTAAGGCTCCTTGTTCTGTCTCCGTACCCAGAGTTCTCTTGCAGTGATACTTCTAGACATCTGGCATCGGGGATTAAGTTGACGGGTGGTGGATTCTCGGGCATAATGTCGGTAAAACGTGATAGCACCCCGTTTTGCGTCATGTTTCCCGTTGTCCGTTTCAAAGTGGACATCGGCAGTATCCCACAAGATGGACTGTTTTGGTCGATAGCAAGCCATGTTTCAGCTGGCAATGGCACTCGCACATTTGCAGCATTCCCCTTTATAGAGCGATGATTGAGGCCCCACCTACTTTGACTTTATTTGCGTATATACATTATTATTAAGTGCCGTAATATTCTAAAAATAAACGTTCTTCCGCTGTCTCGCCCTGGCATCTAGCCCCTCACCCGCCTTCTTCCACAAATGAATATAATTGCTTCATAACGAAACAGATTGATCTTAAGCCGATTGATCTTAAGTTTTGAATCCTAATGGCTTCTATAACTATGTTATGAGGAAAGCACAAAGGCAGTTTTGGGCATCCAACGCTGTGAGTTTTATTTTTCACACCAAACAAAAATTCTCCCAAAGCCCAAAACTGTTTGTAGCTTATCTTACAAAAAAACATCAGCCTACATCAGTATATTACAAAGACATTAGTATTACGTACGTTCCTTAAAGTAGAGTTCGTATTTTCGTTTCTCCCATAGTGTTCATAACAGTGACAGGGCCTTGCAAATTGATTGCTAGATATACAAAAAAACAGAGTTTGACTTCCAGTCTCCCAAGATCAAGCGGAACCCCGCATTCTAACAGGTAGGACGCACCACCCCTCCGGAAAGAATGGCCAGCGTAGCCGTAGGTGCAGGGGATAGCACCTAGTGCCGTGAGGCTGGAACTGAAGTTGCCCAGGAATTTGGGATACGCAAACGAAGCTAAGGAGTCAGTGTGATCTCTCTAAAGAAAGGCAGACTGTACTATGCAATGACAACTACAACGGGTTGCACGCCCAACTTTCAAAGAAAAAGCAAACTTTTTGGTCAAAAGCACTAGTGTTGGCGTCAACAACGCTAAAGCGTATATGCAAATTTCTGGCGTGCAGGATTTCTCGTTTTGCAGAAAACCGCGTGTTTAGAAGTCAATATCACGGATATGTCTGTTGGTGTTAAGGATCGGTCCTTCTCTTCATGGTGCATCGTCTGGATGAGAGATAGGACTGCAGAGCCTGGTGGCTATTAGTTGTTCTATCTGCTTCTGGCATGCTCGCAAGCAGTCCATGTGTATGTTGGTGATTTTTTGCATCTGTTCCAGCAGTTCGTTTGGTGACGCCCAAATCCCCCCGAGTCCATCCAGACCGTTGACTGCAGCACCGATGCTTCCCGCTGCGATCATCGACGGCAGGTGCATTGCAACCTCAAACTCTGTACAACATAAAGCGATGAACTTCTGTGCGTGCTTTGCGATCATATCGCTTTTTTCCCTTTCAATAGACAATCTACTTAGGATGTGTTCTAGAAAGTCACAAGGAGTTATTGCCCACAAGTCCCATTTCAGTTTCATCAGCACCAAGACTTCCCACTCCATGAGTTCTTGACGCAAGATAGAGTTGTCTGTATAGCTGACTAGGTTCTCCGCCGTTAGTGGAGTGGTTTCTTTTAACTTGGACGCGATGAACATACAAACTGTACCCAACAGTTGGATTTGATTTTTCTTTATCCGAACTTGAGAGAGAAATCTGTCCAAATAGTTCATTGCTAGGGGGAATACTTCATCTTCGCACCTCTCTACTTTGCAGACCTCGTAGATCCAAGTCGCGACTATTTGTCTCATGCGCGGCTTGACTTCGTCTTGTACCGCCTTGAAGTAGGTACTGGAGGGAAGATACTTGTATTCTGTTATAAGGAGATTGTTCAAGACTTCGCTGTCTCCATGCAAGGCTGGGTCCCGGTAGCCCCTTCTGATGAAGTCTCCTTCACAAGACAGTAGGGCCATGGCGGTTGGAGGGGAACTTCAGGCGGGAGTCTTCGTGATCCAGTCGATTTTGCGGGCCAAATCCTGAAATCAGAGCAAAACAAGGCCTCTTGAATATTTGAGAAGGTTCTAAAGTATCTTGAAGGTGTTAGAGTGGGGTCTTAAAGAGTGTGGTGTGGTCGGCAGCGCTCTATGAAGGGGACCGGGTTTCACCCTCTCGTTCACTCTAATGCTGCTAGCCGACCAACCTCTAGCAGAAAGGATATATAGCTGCGTCCATTTTCATATTACCCCTTTCTCTACTCTCGGTCTGTGGCGCAACACGCATTCGGCTAAAAAGTGGTTACCACGACCAATACTAGTAATACTAGAAAAGGCAACCAAACACCATCACGTCCCCAACAATAGCTACATCAATATCCAACTATGCATGATCCTGCTTTACGCGTATTAAATCGAAATAGGACAGTATCCCAGTCAGACATATATTGACGCCTATACACCACAATATGTCCCTTTATGGTACAACCAACATTAACTTTGGGCTTATCCTCGCGCCCATCAAGTTTGACGAATATCCTCCCACAGAGGAGATTTCGCTCTTTTTAGAGACGTGTGAAAGCTACTTGAGCCGCCGGCGTGAAGTAGAGCAATCGGAGACAGCAAATATTCCCTCCAATGCTGACACCAATACAATCGAAAGTACCCCCACGTACCTCATCCGCCAGAGACTATCAAAGATGGAGCTGGCTATGATAAATAGGGGAAGAGACATGTGGCAAGCCATCAACCTATTTGTCGCAACTGTTTCAGCATATGAGTTTGGTCGAGACCCACCGCCCCAGTTCAAGAGTGCAGCTCGCCTACACGTTTACTTTTGTCATATATATACCTGTACCTTTCCGGCACAGATCGTACAGACCTTTGCCGATTTTCTCATTAAGAACATAGGAGATAAAAAGTCGGATATATTTGGTCTCCTTCGCCGCCGGCGCGACATCGACTCGCCCTGCAGCATTTCGGACACCACAGCCCTCCCAAACCCCCAAATCACAATGTCGTTTCCTGTCGAATATCAGATCGCCGAAGCAGTTTGTAACTGGTTTGATGTCCCCGAAAAGACTACAGTAGAGCTATGGAATCAGTATGACCTGCGCACTGGCAACTTTGACCGCCTCGTAGACTTATTGACTTGCGTTGTTCCCAACGTGGTGGTACCGTCTTGTAGAATAGACCCCGGAACGTTAGATTATGATGAGCTGCTGCGTGCCCTTCGTGCCGTGCAATCTCTGGTTATGATGGAACAGTCTGTTGAAACCATGTTTGATGTGTTAGTAATGCACCCTCTCCATCACCATTTCACTCAAAAGTTAAGGCTAGATTCTGCAGTGCCTGTCGAGTGGAAATTATGGGCTCCAACTACCCTCATCATTTCACCCGACTTCCTCCAACACGTCCAAAAGACCTTGCTCGGCCTTAAAGATGCAGACGCGCTGACGTCAACACTGACTCCCAATTGCCTTATTGACCTCGCCCACCTATTCCGATATGTGGACACGACGACCGGATGTTACTTTTGGCTTGATTACATGACAAACACTACCAGGATGCCCTCCCCCGAACGTCAGCGACGTCATGGACCAACTCATCGACCACTGTGGGGCATAGAGTGGAGAAACGTACTCCAGCTAGAATCAATAGAAGACCTCTCCATCATGCCCTCAGTCTCCAGTCTATGGTTTGAACCTACTGGAGCAGACAAATTTGTAGTAGATGATGCAATGCGAAGAGGTGGACAGCCGAACCCTCACCAGTGGTGGTCTGACATAGTAACGACCGTCTTTGATTGCGAAGGAGAAAAAGATTTGTCCGTAGAAACCTTTCTAGGAGATCGAATTTTGGGCACATTAAATTGGTTCCAAGGCACAGGTCGCACAAAAGCTACCGTCCCAGTTCACGACGAAAGTGGGGAATTTTTCGAGGTACCCCTGCGAGAGGATACAGACCGTTTGGTAGCTCTAATTTTCATCACCGCGGCGCATGAATTTTTTACCACCAACACTCGCCCCCTTCCCCACGTCCTTGCCCATCACGTACCAGAAATCTTCGGACCTAGCCCCACCAATCTTCCTATCGCACATGATAATTCAAGGTTTTATCTTAGCAAGTACGGTCACCTTTATCCCAAATCAGACATCTACTTTGCAAACATCATGGCCCCACCTGGTGCTTATATGTTTTTGGGAGTCATAAACTCTCAGAACGTCGACCTTCCCAAATGGTGGCACGTCACCTTTATGGGGGGTGAGAACGCTTACGAGCGAACCGTATTTCTATTTTATGAACTATTTAAAGAAGACGGTGCTTCATTTATAGAAGCAATGGTGTCGTCAGCTCAACAAGTATATGAATCGCCTCCACTGACTGCCCGCTTAAAACAGGCTCTATCTAATCTATTAGACGCATATGAGACTGGGACCGAGACCAAGCAGATGGCCGAGGAGTTCGAGAAACTTAGTCTTGACTGTACTCTCTGACCCCCTCACAAAATGACCGCCCTTTACGAGCAGTGCATCGCATCTGGTTGCTACTATACCAACACCACTCTCAATTCTGATATCGTGAACACCGGTCTCTTTCGCTGTCACACGCACACACACATCCTACATCTGTGCCGGCCCAACCTCACGAACCGCACTTGCCCTCTACGCGACCGTGTCTGCATCTTAACAGGTACTCGTTATACCGAAGCCGAACTCTTACCCAATGACGATTCAGTCGATTGCCGTTACGATATCTACAATGACACCACTACCAGCTCTGCTATCCACCAAAGAAAGGACACATCCGACGTAATTATCAGCAAGTATCAGGTTTATCCCTTCTGGCAAGGCATCATCGACTTTTTGGCCGACTTTGCTCTACCCAAGCACGTAGACCAACACAAACGACTCGACTCCATAATTCATCGATCTTTTGTACTATTCCACACATATCTATTTACGGAGAACAAATCCCATCAACTGGATAATACAGAACAGAGTCTAACATGTGCACGTCGTTACTTGGAGATTTGTCAGACGATCGTTTCTCACATGAGCCCTGATGAATCAATCCGCCAATACATGACATCGTTGCTGGGTACCAATCGCCAAAGTGGGGCCAAGTTTCGCAAGGAAATTGCGGTATTAGTCTCGCGCGACATGATGCTCAAAACAAAGCTACTGCCTCCCATATACAAATCTCGCGAGCCTAAACGCTACAAACTGGACACTAACAACGAAACCAGAAACAGCCTCGCCGTCAATCATGACTCCGTAAAGAAGAAAGTCTGCATAAGTGCAGAACACCCCCCAGAGAAGCACTCAAAACTCGCCAAGGATGTCGATTGCCCCCAAACCCACCCTAATTCCTTTACAAAATACGTACCAGGATTTGTTCCCCCCAAACGAAGGTTGGACAGACCGTAAATCTCTCATCTTTCTGACAAGTTTCTCCGCTGGCACACCTCCACCATCTATATTTTATCGTGTAGGGTATCACATGTGCGAGATTGCCACCACAAACACACTTCCTTTTCGCTTTGTTAACAAGCTTTATTACGACCCACGCCATCCTACTCGCCTGTACATCCCTATTCCGTTAGAGGGTGTCGTAGCGCACAAATGTGTAGTCACATTTGTGGAGCTCGTGCACGAGGGCGACTCGCACATTTACGCTCGCCGCAACACCACTCGCGTCAACCCATATAATCCTAACGAGACTTCCTACAGCGAATGGCACGTCTCCGTAGATGAGGACAAGATCCCGTTTAAGGGAGCCCCAACCTCTCCAGAAGGTTCTCTGCTATCATCTTCATCTTCTGGAGATACTGACCAGAGAGAGGTAACTGCTACCACCAAAGCAACGGTCACCTCCTCACCATCCCAGGCATGCTCAAAAAATTCGGAGGCAGAGCAGTTCCTGGCCTTTATCTTTAATTCGACCAAACAGCAACTGTACCAGTCCGATGAGACACCAGCCCTTCGCTTAAATGCCGATGACATAACAGTTTCTACCTCGTGCGAGGTCAAGCAGGTGACCGATAATTCCCTTCTGACACCTAAGCAATTAAGCTACAACCCCAATCACCCGTTATGGGTCATGCCAAACGAATTAGATGACGTTTTTGCCACTCCATATTGGGTGGATGAAAAGCACTGGCGCTACTGTAACGACTTGTATGTTCGAGTGGCTACGGAACAAACAAGCCCTCCTTTAACCGCCGTCTGTAGTATCGATGCTCTTTCCTATAAGCTTACAACCACGCTGGGAGCTAGTTATATAGACGAGCCAGAAAAAACTATTGGAGTATCACGAACCAACTGGCCTGACCCCGAAAGCTGGCCCATGGTACATGTCGATCCCATCTGGGCCAACATTCTTGGTAAACATGATACCTTACGACTTTTGACCAACATAGTTCTGGGTAACGTGTTTAGAGCTTTATTTTGCTCAGCACTCCCTGACATACCCTTATTTAAACATGCCTTGATCGATTTCGAAGAGGCCGCGGTCCTCTTTACCACTCAAGAAGTATACACACGTCATACTCAAAATGACTTTTACATAGACGTGTGGCGCCTCAAGCCTTTTGCCGACAGATACAATCTCGGGGAAAGATTTGGTAGCAAACAATATATGTATGGTTACCAACCCCAGGTTAGAAAGGCAAGCTACCTCGTGGCCATTAATAAATGTACTGACAGACCAACCGTCGTAGGGGCTCACGAGTGGCTTGTAAACGGGACCGAAACAAAATGGGGCCGAGAACACTCCGTCAATTTGGAGGTGACGACAAGCATTTGTTCGCAACTCCGTGCTGTCATAAACCACAAAAACATTCCCGAAAATAAGGAAATGGGTGATCTGATTACCACCACGTTCAAGACAGCCATAGAAGCGGCTGTTGACACCATGGAAACATACGTTCACATTGATGAATCTGGGCTCATTTACATATCCCATCCCTGTTTCCCCGA